GAAAGAAGTTTCTGACAGAAGTTTTAGCCTATTTTACTTATAACATCCCTGGAGAGACATCAAACAGTTCAGCAGGAACCACCTCCCCTCAAAGCTCCATGGTGGTCTGCACCAGGAAGGGACAGCCCAAAACCTTCTGGCCCTAAATCTGCCCTGTTTCAGGTCACCCACAGGATGTTCCTGTGCCTGTCAGCCCCTGGGAGTTCAGAGGCACAGGCACATATCCCACTGGAGCTGCACTCAATCAATAACTTATCAAACATTTTGGTAAAGAAATTTATCAGTGGGTATCAATCAACCCATTCTGATACAGAAATGACTCTTGAAAAGTCTCCCTTTTTTGATTCTCCCATTGTTTACAGCCCTTATGCAGCTTTGGCAAGAAGGGGAGGGAAGAGGATGCAGTGCTGAACAGGCCAGATTGCTCATTGGCATTCTCAGCCCTCCTGCTAATTATGTTACACTGCTTTAGCTGGAACAGACCTGAATTGCAACAAAATTGAGCAAAATCACCTCTTTTCCAAGAAACCTGGCAGAAATACCTAGTAAATGTGGGTTACATCCAGAGAACTGATGAAACATAAAATGCTTAGTGAGTTTCAGTAAATAGCTTCCTTACAGCTTGTTAAATATCCAGAGCCTATCTTCCAACTGCACTACGTAACAGGAACTATGCTTTCCAAATCATTCTGCAGCCTTCTAAGGCTGAAGCCTCTATGCTTAAGATTTAAAAACAACTATGAAAATATGGTATTAGAAAATGTACCAAAAATACTCACCTTTTCAACTGGTTGGGTACTCCCTTGCCCTGCTGTCACCCCTGGAGTTTTGTAGACAATAACAGCCACTCAGGTCTCCAATGTTTTTATTTGTATTTTATTGCATCTATTTTGGATCCCCCCCACCATGCCCCTCTAATGGCTACATTAACATATTTTCTGATATGTTTACATTTATCCTTCCTGAAATTAGTTGCTACAATAAATACCTATTATAATAGTTCTGAACTTGTATATTTCTCTTTACTAAAGAGACCCTTAACAATATTTTATTAGCTATAAATGTCTAACAAAGAAAGAAAAAAAATCAGTTAAAGTGAATCATATTATCCTAAATGATTTGAAATGAGTTTTCAGTCTTAAAACCCCCCAGTATTTTTGAAAGAAAAAAAATAAACAACTACTTTGGATATAACTGAATCTAGAGGAGGCTGGAGCCTTCTCATGGCTGGTTAAAGGGATAAACAAAAATATTAGCTATACAGCAAGGAGGGTTTGACATTTTGTCAGTACTATAACCCTGGGCATTTGGGGAACCTGTAAACAGGGACACAAAAAAGGGTAAAAGAGGCTTCTGTTGAGATGCCTCCAGGCTGGACTGTTACCAGCAATGGTTTGTGAGCTTATAACCAAAATTTGAAATTTAAGTGCTTAAGATCTCTTAAGAAGTCCAATTGCAAGCATCTAGTATCTGAGCCTTCAACACACAAACTTAAGGAAAATTACACACTAAATACAAGTCCTAGCACACTTGGATAGGAAAAAAAAGTCATGAGCCTACAGCTTTACATCAGATATTACCCACAGCCAGTGCTTTTAAAACCAGGTAAATGGCAGATCATATGCAAATAAAAATTGGCCAAACACTATTAATTTTCCTGCAGTGAAAATCCAGGGTAACCTGGTAATTCCTGCTCCTGCATTCAGTCCAAAATGGTCACATGTATTTGAAATACTTGACAATAACTAACACAATTCTATATTATCAACTCGGTACCACTGAAAACACTGGATATACAGAACACAATTTGTGAAATTAATTTTATTTTTGAAACATGATATCCAATTACAAATAAATAATTCATACAATATAATTCAATTAGGGTATACAATGTTCAGGCAGTTCATAGTAACAACCAAGATCACATTGAAAATGAGTTTACATTAAATAACCCATTACAACAATATACAATTGGTAATTCAATTCATGTTTCAGCCTGGTCCAAGGTGTAGGCAAGTTGAAAATTGTTCCTCTTACCAGTAAAGAAACAGATGTACATGATTTTATACCAAGCCCAAAGTAGTTAATACACTACAGTAACACAAATTAAAAATACTCCATTGCATCACCTAAATGTAGTTTCAGTACAGAATAAAAAGTTTGTGAATTTTAGCAGGACAAAGGTTATTGCAAAGGAGTTTGATGTCCTATAGCAATTTCTGCATAAACTTACCAGCCTTACAGAGTGTTCCTAATGTATGGTTTGGATTCCATACCCTTCTCTGCATGCTGTCTGCAAAGCAGTGGTGTGGGGACCTGCTCTGTTCTCAGCTCCATCACACACTGCAGTTCACTGCCACTGCAGCAGAGCCTGTCCCTGCTCAGCTGCAGCTCCCCTGAGCCGTGCTCCTGCCCTGCGAGACCCGCAGCAGCAAAGCCACACTCTGCTGACATGCAACTTTTGAATTTCTCACCTATCCCAGAAACACCATGCTCTGGAAAGAACACTTACATCTAGATTGAATGATAGTCCTGGAAATTTTTTAAAGAATTGTGAAATTTAAAAGATATTCACAGCATCCCTGGAATTTCTTGGTCAACCATTTTAATAATGAAATACATAGATTTTCACAAGAGAGTAAGTAGTTACAATTTTCAATGATTCAGAGACCTGGTAAGTTTTAATTTACAAAAGTTTTGTTAAAAAACCCCCTCTTTTGGGGGCCCTTCAGGTGAGGTATTTGCCCCTTGCTCTTAGTTTGAACTCAGATTGTTTAAAGTTACAGCTCTTTCCACTACAGATCCCCCACATGACAGAGACCACTCCTCCCAAACACACTCTTGTGTTCTCAGCTCCTGCACAGCTGCCCACAGCCCCTGGGACAGCACAGGGCATTCCAGCAGGTGCTTTTGTTCTTGTTACACAGGGCATGGGAAGACACACACCAAAAAAAAAAAAAAAAAAAAAAAAAAAAAAAGAGGGAATTCCCAGCTGGCAAGCAGTGCATCTCTGCAGGGCTGGAACAAATCCCTCCCAAGCTGTTCTTGTGCTCAGCAATGCAGGAGCAGGGGTGGCAGGCAGAAGGAGCTGGCAGCCCAGAGGAGCAGGGCAGGGAGCCCCACACCTGAGCTGCAGCCTGACTGAACATCCATCCCTGCCCCCAGCACAGGTGCCCCCAATGGGACATGGGAGTACTCACAATCCAGCAGGAGTGGAGTCTGCCTTTTGCTCTAAATCAAAAGAAAAAAACCCACACTCATCACAAAGATTTCATAGATTTTTAAAAGCCTTTCTATCTCCAGCGCTGAGACTAAAGTTAATGAACTGCTTTGTTTTCACATTCTGTAGAAGAAATAAATGTCCACAATGAATCTTAATGCCTAATGAAAGAGAAACTATATATATCACACCCATTTTAAACATAAAAACCCTGAACTGTAAAATCAAATGCACAGTTAGACTGCAACCCCATCTTGTGACTGGATTAGAAAAAAGAAAATAAAACTACTATTTCCAAACCATTTTAAAAGTTTCCTTAGTGAAAATTTTCAAAAGGGGATTTAAACCCTTAGCAGAACAAATTATAAATCAGATTTGTTTAACCAAAAGCAGATTTATTTTCCTAAATCTGCTGCACAATGAACCAAGTGATATACATAGTACTTCAGCAATTTATTATTTTTCACTAAAAATCACAAAAACATTTGAACAATGTACAGTCTGTGCTGAGCTCTATTTAAGAACCTGTTGATGGAGCACAGATACAAATTTAAGTGTTAGTACTGTCTAATACATGATGTGACACTTCCCTACAGCCTTGGCAATTTTTCCACATTTGGATTCTTCAGTCATTTTTCAATATTTGTCTTATCTCTATTTGTCACAAGGTTTTCATTCATGATCTGGATATCTAAAGGCAGTAATCTCAAAAATGTGGTTCTGATTTATTTTTGTTGCTTCTATTTTCATTTGATTACTTACACCAAAATTCACCAAATGTTAACAGTTTGTCATGGACAGCAGCAGGGGAAATCAATTAATTAGCACAAACCACCCCATCATTTCATCAGGGAACCTGCTTGATAACCTTCAACTCCTATGAATCTGCTTTCTACAATCAATGGAGAGCATTAATTAAAAAAGTATTTCAGAGGTTTATAAAATGAGAATTTGCACATCAAATACCTCCCAAAACCTCATGTCACAAAGACAATCAGCAGGAACTCCCAAACTAAGCTTCTGGCCTTCAGCATTGCTATGTGCTACCATAGCAGGGCACTAAGTAAGCATCAGGACCTTGAGTTTTAGTACTTCAAGTAAATGATACACACCAGAGTAATCTCCAAATTAAAACCATTTTAGTATTTGTTTCATCACCAAGTTGACTGATGTATGCCTTTTCACAGTCTCATGTAACCCCGAATATTCTTTCCAGAAATATTCTGAAAATAAAATTCACATCTGAAACAAATCTGAACACACTCACACAAGATGAAAAGAGCCCCCATATCTTTTCAAACAACATCCATGAATCTCTATTGAAACAGAAATTGAGACTCCTTCCCAAAGTAAGAATTAGGTGCAACAAACCAAGCAACATAACTCTGGCCAACAAATGCTTCAAATATCTGTTTTTAAAGCAAAAAGTACTACACAAAGAACAGAGAATCAAAGGGAGATTTTTAATGGCACAAAGGGCAGCTAGGCACTGTGTGAGCTGAGAACATAACTGTCATTATGACTTTAAAAATCCCCCCAGGAAGATTTGGGTTGCAGCTAGGGCAGAGCAGGGGTCTTGCCAAACCTTCATAAACAACGGAAGAGGAAACCCACTGTAATGTCCAAACCTAATGAGAAAATACAAAGGTTGCTACAGTCCCTCTTTAAAAGGACACAGTCAAGCTTGTAAAGTGTAAGGTGAAATTAATGACAAGAGTTCATATTAGCACTACACAATTCAGCTCTGGATGAAATGGTCACGAGCTATTTAAAAAAGGAGTTTCTGTATCTGAGAGGTTATTCTTAGGTTTAACTTCTGCTGTGTTAATAGCATCTTCTGTATCAAAGGAGCTTTAACTAACACCAGCAAGAGTACCTGCCTTGAGGCAGAGCTGTGCCATGACCAACCTTCCATTTTCAGATAAAAATAAAAGTAACCATTAGGCACATATTGAAGGTGCATTACACAAGCTGGAATGTCAAACATTTTCTCCCTCAAATTTACACAGAAAAATAGCACAGCAGCAAATAACCTGGTCCTCTGTTCAACAACTACCTTGTTACAAGCATTTTCAATGTACATAATGTCACAACATCAATACCTTCTTATCTTTAAATAATTAGGTAAAAAAAGGCCCCCAGTATAACCATTTCTTATATAGCCAAGTTCTCTCTATATACATCCAAATTTTAAAGATACAAATAAAACATTATACAGGATTTATAAATGTTTAAAAACTTGAGTCTTCAGAGTCATGGTTTCCCAAAAAGACCCGGGAAAATCCACAGACTGACAAGGTAGCAGAGAAAACTGGAAAAAAGGAGACAGACACAAATTTGCTGCCATAACATTTTACTAAACTTGCCAGTCGTCACGGTGACGTCATTAGAAAGAACAGTTTAAGCTGGAAATGAGGAGTGGTGGTTTTGTGTGTTGATCTCAAGTGTCGAGTTGAGAGAGGCAATTCAAGTATTTCCTATTTGCTCCGAGCTCAGCAGTGCAGCAGTGGTGCCGAGGAGGGTTATTTGACGCTTGTTCCGTACATCCGCTCAATGTCCGGCTGGTAGAACGCCGTCAGCTCCTTGCGCTTCAGCTTGAACGCGTCCGTCACCAGACCAGTCTCTGGGGTCCAAGGATCTGGGCTCAAACGGATCTTCACTGGGATTTCAAACTTCTCCAGGTTTGCTGTGAAAAGAAACGTTTTTAATACAGAACCTAAATGGAACCATTTTCCTAAAGTTAAGCACAAAAGGAGAAATCATATCCACACGCACGTGACCCAAATGAAGAAGTGCTCCTCCAACCCCCAGGGTTGGTTTGACAAGCTGTGGGGTCACAAGCAGAGGGACAGGATCTGCTAGTACCTGTTGTCCAGTTTCCATAGAAATGCTGGAATAAAGCCCAGCTGTTCAGGTATCTCTGCAGCTCCCTAACTTCAAAAAAAAACCTCAGTGCATGGAAATTATATCCACAACACAGACTCTGCTCTATCAGCATCATGGAACCCATCATCTGAGAGAAAAACCTTAAAATCCATACTACTTAGGTTAGAAAAAATGGGCAAGTTTGTTTTTTCCCGATAGTTCTAAATCCACAAAGGGAATTAAGCTCATATGGGAACTCTTCCCTGTACTGAAAGAGAGCAGTGCTCTCCACGTTACACCTTCAGCACAAAAAGCTATCATTTGCAACAATTTCTGTTGTGGTTTCAGATATGAAAAAAGAAAATAAGAAAAGTAGTCAACAAATAGCAGTAATAAAAAAATCCTCTCCTTTCAAGTTGAATTTCAAAAATTTACACAAATGTATATTTATCATGTGAAACCTGCCATTTTTAGATTTTCCTGCCCCATTTTCTCCCTTCGGCATTAGATTACTAGGTTTGTGTTTTTAGGGTCTTTTTGCAATATTTCAACTCTGCACTGGTATGTAGCATGGGAGACTGTCTCATACCTAATGCACATTTTATGATTATGGATTCATAGCTGGCCCACACTGGCTTTGGACCAGCATTAAGGCGAACAAGATACTACAGGACATCTGAAAGAACACCACACATACACATAGAGAACTGTACTTGTAAAGCTTCCCTGGTTTTATATTCTTTCCTCAGCTATTGGCCACAGTAAAAGAAGCTGCATGAAACAAAAGGACTGACTCAACTCATGTTTTGTTGTTGGGGGTTTTTGTATGAAAATCTCACTTCATACAGGTTCAATGAAATATACCCAACCAAGGAAATACTTTAGGGCCTATGCTTATCTATTTCACAGACATTGCAGTCCACAAGACTGATACCATCTACCCAGCCACTCACCTGCCACGGCAGCCTCAGCTAGCACCTTCAGAACCTCTTTTTCCATCTCAGGACTGTTACAGATCTCTTCCCAGGTTCCTTTAAATCCTTTCTTTCGGGCTAGTTCTGCGAGCTCCTTTTGATTTGGCACAACAAATCCAATGACATAAGAATGGAAGCTGAGAAGCACAATTTACTTTAGTATGAATTTGGCAAAGTAAACAACTCTTCAAAAATAATGTTTCAAGCTGGGGTGCTTATACTTCATACAGAGATATTGCTCGTAACAGCTGGCTTTTGTTCACCTGATAATCCTCCTGAAATAGTACACAAATTACCTCTGCCTGCTTACAAGTAAGTAGAAAGAGAAGCTACTTACCTTACAGTAACTGGATTGCTTCAAGGTGTGCTGTCCATATGCATATTCCACTGTGTCTCATGCCCAAAGCTTTGGGAAGCAGCACCACACGATGTCACTGCGCCCTGCCTCTGCTCATGTTTTGCAGCCCGGAATGGAGACTGGTGTGCGGCTTCCCTACCTCAGTTTCCTCTCAACTGCAGAGTCCAGTTACTGTAGAGGAGTAGAGGACTGCAGTGAAGAGGGGTTGGACAGCAGGTTGTGGAATGAGCATATGCACAACACATCTCAAAGGATGCCTGCTTCTGTAAGGGAAGTGACTTCTCTTTCTCTTTCAAGTGGTTGTCCATACACTCACTCTACTGCTGGCACTCTTTGTCTGCTCCTGACATGCCAGAACATAGGAAGCTGTGATCTCAAAGTCTTTGGGCTCTAAAGCACAATTCACTCTGAAACAGGTGTTCAAAGCTTTTAAGATGGTGTAAACTTTAGGTAAAATTTGCACAGAACCTCACACACCTCAAGCAGCTTGACACATTCTAACAAAGCAGATCACAGAGCCAGAGTTGAAAGTGATTTCAGAAGAGTTCCTAATCAATTCACCTGCCCTAAAGCAGAGTCAGATGTTTGTCTACATCTTTCTTGTTAAATGTAGAATGCCAACGCTTCATCACTCATAGCATGGATTATCTGCTGCTGATGGCAACTCCTGACTCTTCCTCTTTGAAATTTACCTCACAATTGTCAGATGTCCCTCTCTTTTCCACAGAAGCTATTTATTCATTCACAGATTTTCCTTGTCACCTTTTTAGTCTTGCTTCCTTTCTTAGGTTTATTTAGACACATCAGCAGTGCCCTTTCCTCCTAATTCATGCCATCACAGGTGTCTGCCCAGACATTGCCATTTTTTTCCTGGACTCTTTTCATGAGGTCCATCTCTTCAGATGTGCTAGATGTGGAACTCAGACCCCTTAACACTTGTTAGAGCAAAGAGACCATTGTGCATTTTGTAGGCAGTACATCTGATTATGCCTTTCACCTTCTTATAACAGCATGGCACTTGTGGACTCATGCCAGCTCCTACAGAATTGCTACCAAGTGGTGATTCTCACCCTTAACTTCTGCAGTTTACTTAGCTGTAAGTATAATTTACAACTCCCCTCTTTCAACTTACTGCTATTTCCAAGCAAATCTCCATCTAGCCAAGCTTGCTCTGAATTCTCATCCTCTCCTCCACTGTGGCTTTGGTTCCCTCCCATCTTAAGTATCTACAGAATTATTAAATCTTTTCAACTGTTACCAGACACATCATTAATACAAAATATGTAACCTTAGCCCTAGCGTGCAGATTACTGTACTATATCCTTTAAGGTTTTCAAGATAATTTTAACATACTACCTCTGTAAGATACTACCAATGCTTTTGGTTACTGTACATTGCAATTTTCTCCTTTCTTCCTGGCATGAATCATAATGGGCATCTGACAGGAGTTGGGAAGACTGCACAGAGTCCATTATGAACACAGACTTCCCTGGCAGCATCACTACAAGCTCTGCCGGTCAGCTCAAAACCATTCTCATTTTTCTCTTCCTGAAAATGTATTAAATGATGATTTCAGACTAGCCTCACTATCACTACAGCTTTCATCTCACCTTCTGCCCCATTTCCCCCATGCACACTCATGCTGCTCTCTACACCGAACCCTTGTAGCCTTGCTCCCTGCTGTGTAGGTATTCTGTGTGAAGGCACCTGGGACACAAAGGACTCTGGCACTTTCATCCCTGGTTCCTGCAGTCTTTTTGAACTCTTGTAACTTTGCTCCCTGCTGTGTAGGTATTCTGTGTGAAGGCACCTGGGACACAAAGGACTCTGGCACTTTCATCCCTGGTTCCTGCAGTCTTTTGAAATGCTCAAGATCATGTCCATCAATATCACCAGCGTCTCCAGGGATAAACAGCACATAGAAGTAATCAGTTGGCTGGGTAAGCGTCAAACTTTCTGTTCATCTAAAATTCAGCCCCTCAGTAGAAGTGTACTTGTTCTGGAGAAACAGGTTCATCTAACTGGCTTTTTCTTGTCAAGAACACCTTGCAGCTCTCAGTTCCTGGTACCTGTAGTTTTTCTTTCTGTGCCACAAAGTTAATCTTCACCTGTTGCAGTTCAAATGCTAAAGCACTGTTTTGTCTTGAGAGGTATCCTGAAAGTACACCTTCCCTCTCGAGCAGCCACTGCCCCGTCACTGCTCCTTATGCCAATCCTTTGGATTTGGTACCTTTGTCTTGGAAGTGATTTTCAGTGAAAATTTTCACTTTGGTCCTCAAGACCTCCTTAGTCATCTCTTCCATGATGAAAGATTTTGCCAAAATGTCCTACACTAGGCAGCCTCATTCCTTTGCTGTGCTTATGATTCTACCCACAGATGGTTCTCAGACCTGTGGTCAGAAACATATTTAATGGCACTACACATTGATATCACTGTTTCTATTCTGTAAAGCCTGGTCCCTTATCCCCTTGAGATTACTGAGGGCTCCCTCAGGTTTTTTGTCACATTTGCTCATTCCTCAGGTAACCGAGCTTTCCTGATGCGATCCTTGAAACCCACTTAATGTGTCTTGGATGGGTGAAGTGTTGACAAAGCAGTAGGAGTCCCCCCCGCAAAAGAGCTCTAATCACCATTCCTTTCAGCAAATGTTTTTATTCCTTACCTCACTTATTTTGTCTGAAGTCAATACAGTTTTTGAAGTAGCAATAGCATGCAAACAATTCCAATTCTCTACTACCATGTTCAGAGGAGCTTTGCGCCCTAATATGTAAGGTCAAATCACATATTAAACCCATTTGTAAAAGTCTGCCCTCCTTGTCCTTTTGCATGTGGGAGACAGAACAGGTACAAATAAAGGACTCCTCCTGCATACTAGATCACCCAGGCAAAGTATAAGGAGAGAGAGGATCCAAGAAAGGTCACAGGCACTGTTACAAAACCTCTCTGAGCTCACACTGCTGAGGTGAGCACATGCCCACAATGAAATGTGCACATGGACAATCATTCAGGGACTCTATTACATGGCTACTCAGGCCACATCACACACATAACAGTATTAAGAAAGTACAGCAGTAACAGAAAAACCACTCTGGAATGTCTTGTTTGTCCTTGGTCTGGACTCTTGTTTGTAAATTACCTTTAAAAATTGCTCATAGGTTTTCCTGTTTTTAAGTAATAGACATGACACGGCCTATCAGAGTCAAGTGTCTGGCTGGCAAGTGTATTTTAGCTTCCAATGTTATGCTGACCTGGCAAACTTAACACAAAAATTTGGTAGCACAAGTCCAATAGTGAACTGCAACCCTGGAAGAGAAGAAATCACATGTAGGAAGCTCTTTCTTCACAGATCACAGAGGGTGCTTGGAACAGCTGCAGCTTCAGGTTGTCAAAGCCAGCAAACATGAGACTCACACAGTGAGTCCAAACCACAAATAAAGCTTACAAGAATGGAAATTTCCTCAGCAGTGGCTGGCCCAATGCATGCCAGCCTACTGATCCAAAACTGTCAAAACCGCAGTTACAGAATGACCACACAAACCCCTCCAAAATTACAGAGAACCAGGTGAACAAACCAAAAGTTAATTGTTTTATTTAATACCACTGAGCAATTCTCTGGTGTGCTTATCCTGGCTTCTTTCAAAGTAAAGTGGGGCTTTTTGGGACATAATGGGAGTCAGAATATTTCTGATCATTCAGAAGCTCCAAAATAACTTTCCAAACATCAACATCAAACGACAACAGGAAACAAAGACCACCTGAAGTATATTTCTATGTGTAAGAGCTAAGAAACTCTAGAAATAGAAACTTAGGACATGTTTGAGCCCTTATCATGTCACTTGCTAGTACACATATAAAGCAAATAGAAATGGCATTTGATTGTCATTTATTGTGTGTTTGCACAGCATTTGAATTGTGGTTTTCTCAAGCTTCAAGGTGGTGAAGAGGGGTAAGGAAAAGTAAATTTAATTCACAAGCCAGCTACTGGGCCATTGGTGGTTTTTTCCGCCACCTTCCTCTGAAGTACCACAGTACTTCCACAGAAGGGCAAATCACAACTAAACACAGCAAGGAACAAGGTGTCCCAGGGCTTCTAAAGGTAACAATCTCCAAAGTGCTTGAGTGATGCCTGTAATTAATGTAGTAGAGCTCAGCTGCTTTTCAGACAGGGGAAGGGAGAATGTAAGACTCATCATTGCTATTTTCCAATAAATGATGACAACAAACTAGAAAGGAGAAATAAAAATTGATCTCAGATCTTTTAGTTTTGACAGAGAGTTATTCCATTGCATTATAAGTAAAATCTTTTTTTTTAACAAGCTTTTTTTTTAACACACTGAGTGCCAAAAAATTTTGCTTCAAGAGGACAAAGATCAGAGCAGTAACAAATCATAAGCTGCTCTTACCTGCTTGCATATGCACAAATATTATCCACCAGTGGGAGATTCTTCAGAGCTGCTTCTACTTTGCCAAGAGAAACATACTCTCCTGCCTGCAGTTTTACAAGATCCTTTTTGCGATCTATTGAGGAAGAAAGGAGTTAAGTGTTAATGACATAATAGAAAACTTGGAAACATTGATTTTACATTTTTTTGAAATGCTTATTTAAATAAGCACTTAAATATATAAACTGATTCATGTTTGGTGAATGTACCAGAAAACTTTAATGTTAGGTTTCCAGACTGCATTTTATCAGTCTGTCTGTCCCAATAAAATGAGGGATATTACAATTCCATGCATTTTCTGCCTTCAGAACAGCATTTCCTATATGACAGCACCATCATGTGCATGGAACACAAGTAGGAATATGCAAAAGCCACTGTTAGCCAGAAGCACACATTTTTCACCCATAAGGCAGGATATACACCATTTGGTGGCATTATGTTATTTATTTCAAGGTAAATCCATATTTAAAGAGCAACTGTTCATCTTTTACTTGAAAAACAACAATAGGAAACAAAAACTAGGCCCAAATTAATTGAGATTATTACATAATCATACAACAATCATATTACACAACCATACTAAATTATACAATATAAGGCAGCTTATCTACTCAGCTTGTCTTTAACTCCCTAATTATTACCCAGTCTCACCAACTCAGGGAGTCAATGTGAAGATTGTTTCAAAACCTAAAAATCAGCTTCTAAAACATACAAACAAGTTTACATTAACATAACAGGACTTCCCTGGCATACATGGGAAGGCTTTAGCTAAATCCATATTTAAAGAGCAAATGTTCATCTTTTACTTGAAAAACAATAGGAAACAAAAATTAGGCCCAAATTAACTGAGATTATTGAACACAACCGTACTAAATGATACAATATAAGGCAGCTTATCTACTCAGTTAGCTTGTCTTTAACTCCCTAATTACTACCCAGTCTCACCAACTCAGGGAGTCAATGTGAAGATTGTTCCAAAGTGAACTAAAAATCAGCTTCTAAAACATACAAACAAGTTTACATTAACATAACAGGACTTCCCTGGCATACATGGGAAGGCTTTAGATTGCAAGACAAGATATAGAGGTTTTTTTCATTATTTTCTTTCACAGCCCTGAAAAATGTGTGTATATGAATATCTTATACATATACATTTACATGTCACCTAATTTATTAACTCACCAATAATTTTTAGACATCCATCATGATGAAATTCCCCAATGTCTCCAGTATGGAGCCACCTCTGCCCATTCTCATCAACAGTAAAATCTTTTTTGGTTCGTGCTTCATTTTTGTAGTAGCCCACAGTCACATTCTGCCCTCCAATAAGGATCTCACCTCTAGGGTACGGTTTATCAGTGTTGTAATATCCACCTAGAAGGATGGGGAGTTTTATTAAGCTTATGAGAATGAAAACATATTCTAAAGCAAAAATTTGTGCCATTCTTCTGGCAGAAGTAATGTGCTTTATCGGTTTCACACAGGCTCAAATAAAACCAAATAACTTTGCCTCATAGTTTAAAGAAGAAAAAATCCATGAGGTTTTGCATTAGTCCCGACCACACTTAAGTATTATGTATTTCTACTCTACAGTACATAAAAGCCTACAGTGAAAGGAAATACCCAAATTCATTTCAAAATTTATTATATGTATTTTACAATGTATCCATTAAGCTTCTATTCTGCATGCCAATTTCTAATGACTTTAAGAATAATGCTATGAAGAGTATTTTAAAATAATTTCTTAATGGCAACTGAAGGTATCATGCATACTACCTAGTCAAAATGCCATTTGCATTGATAACTTCTGCCTGGATATTTCCCTGTTTTGAAACTGAGGACTTTATTCTATGGTTCTTCTCCCCAAGAGCAAACTTTTATAGGCAAAAGTAGCATTTAAAATTCAAACAGCCAAGAAACAGTCTTTAATTACTGCTACTGAGCAAAGCCCAATAGAAAAACACAGTTCTTACAAACATATTACAATGAAATCATAAGCAGGAATTCTCACCTTCTTCCCAGTTCATTAACTTGATTTCACAACAGACCAAAGGTGCTCCCACTCTTCCTGTAGTGTAGTCCCAAACTAGAATTTAAATAAGTGCATTTTCAGAAAAACAAAAAAACAAAGATGGCTAGGAAAAAGAAATCTTTTGTTGTCACGCATTCTCAGTGAAAATTAACTGCTATTTATTTCTGAACTTAAATTCACAGAACCAAACCTCCAAGAAAACCCAACAGATTTATCAAGAAAACACAGATAAAATTCTTATCCCACCAGGAGAGTAGATAGCTGTATTAACAGATACCCTTGGAGTCTAAAAGGCAACTGAAACCACTAGGTTCTGTTATATGAAATTAAAATCTGGTGCAAGATTTTAATTCCTGACATCTCAACATACTGAACAAAATTTGAAAATAATTATTCCGCTCATGTGGTAAGTACAACACCACCAAGATCCCATTCATACCAGAATGGGCTGCTCCACCAAAAATGAGAGCTTCCATTTTACACGTGGGTCACCTGCTTTAGCACCACGCATCCCATCAGCACTGCCACTGTTTGATACATTTCGGGAACACCTGATTGCAGGATTCCCCGATGACATTGGTGGTACCAGCAAAGGAGCAGGCGAGCAGGGCTGAGCCGCGTGGGGCTGAGCGCGGGTGCCAGTGCCTGAGGGCTGCAGTGCCACCCACCTCCAGTGATGGTGCCAGCCCCAAGGGGTACAGTGCCACCCACCTGCGGTGACGATGCCAGCCCCGGGGGCTGCAGTGCCACCCACCTGCAGTGACGGTGCCAGCCCCGAGGGCTGCAGTGCCACCCACCTCTGGTGACGGTGCCAGCCCTGAGGGCTGCAGTGCCACCCACCTCCGGTGATGGTGCCAGCCACGAGGGCTGCAGTGCCAGCCACCTCCGGTGACGGTGCCAGCCCCAAGGGGTACAGTGCCACCCACCTGCGGTGACGGTGCCAGCCCCGGGGGCTGCAGTGCCACCCACCTGCGGTGACGGTGCCAGCCCCGGGGGCTCCAGTGCCACCCACCTGCGGTGACGGTGCCAGCCCCGGGGGCTCCAGTGCCACCCACCTGCGGTGACGGTGCCAGCCCCGGGGGCTCCAGTGCCACCCACCTGCGGTGACGGTGCCAGCCCCGGGGGCTGCAGTGCCACCCACCTCCGGTGACGGTGCCAGCCCCGAGGGGTACAGTGCCACCCACCTTCGGTGATGGTGCCAGCCCCGGCGGACTCGGTGAGGCCGTAGCCCTGCCCCACGGGGCAGCAGAAGCAGATGTTCATGAAGCGCTGCGTGGCCGCCGAGAGCGGCGCGCCGCCGCACAGCAGCACGCGGATCTTCCCGCCCAGCAGCATCCGCACCTTGCGGAAGATAAGGCTGAAAGGCAAAGGGGAAAGGACATGGTGGTGTTTCAAAAGAAAGCAAGAGAGCACCTCGTTTTGGATCTAAACCGAGTTTCCACTGTCTTCAAATACACTTCTATGACTTCCAAGGAAAGCCTTGTGAAGCAGCACATTGAAGTTTTCAGGAATACAGGCACAGATTTCTAAGACTGTTTCCATGTTCTAGTTTGAAGATGGGTTAAATGCGTGAGAACACAGATTTAATGAGGCTGTATAGTTGCATGATTTTCTCCTAAGAATACTTTTTATAAATTTTATAAATTTTGCAAATACGTTTTCTTTTACTCTCACAGAAACCCAGAGTTAGACTCAGTGGTCCTGTGGGCTCTTTCCAATTTGAGGTATACCATTGCTCCCTTCTGCCAAAATGTGGAGTCTCCAGTCTTCTGTAGGAATAAACTTCTCATTTTACCAAAAAATTGTATAAATCGATTATTAAATTCCTGATAAAAATGCAATAAATGTAAATTTTCAACCACTTTCATTTAAACAACACTCAAATTTTATCAGTAAGTATTTAAACACATCACACAAACTCCTGATTTGTTGTTTCCATTTACACTGAATAACAGATTTGTTCATGTCCAAAGTGTCAACGATAAAATAAAGAAAAGCACATGAAAACCAAATACTGCTCCACTGGTAAGACTTTCATTTTTTGGTGCCATTACAAAGGAAGCTAACATTACCTGTCACAGAGTGGGGTAGTGTAACCTTTGGAAATCTGTTCCATTTTGTAGTTGTAGGCCAAGATAAATAGATTCCGCTGGAAACTAGTCATTTCATTCACTTTATTCATGACGTTTTTGTAAATTCGATCCATAATTTCCTAGTTACGTAAAAAGATGAACTTTATCTCAAAGAAACAGAAATCCTGAATTCAGTACAGCAAAAAGAAAGCACAATCTAGAAATTCAAGTGAGCTTCAGGTAACAACCCCACTCCCAGGTTCCCTGCTCTTCCCTTGCTAAGAGACAGCAAGATGTTCATGGAAAGGAAGAAAGCAAAATCTGGGCACGAGCAGCAGTTAACCCCCAGCTGCCAACTCTCTTTATTTCACTCTTTCACTGTAACAAACTAGAAATGACTAATTAAAATGGAAATTGAATCTCTCTAGCTATCTTAACTTTGAAAAAGTTCAATACTCATATCATGATTGTTTATCCTCAACATACAAGTAAGTACCAAAATTATTATTTTAAGGCAGCTTAATATCAAAGATTGTACATTTCTATTTAAATAGTAATGGTATTAATTTGTCGCTAAAAATTGAATTATAAATTATATTTTTAAAAAGGTTTAAAAAATTATTCATCCTTCAGTTACTTACCGGAACTGCTGCCATTAGAGTTGGCTTAAGTGTAGTAACATCCCCTTTGCTTCCTTTCTTTATTTTAGAGGACTAAAGTGAAGAACAAGTTTACTAGCAGACACATTCAAGATCTTTAACATCAGAAACAAAATTTGTACTATTTTTAAAGAAATATAAAAAAGTTCTGACATAAGTAGTATTTTTTTATTAATTTCTTTTTTTTCCTTCTGTAAGGACTTACACCTACAACATACCTGGTCAGCCAGTGTCTGAGGGGAAGAGTAACCGATGCGGCACCCGTGAGACAGACACACGAGCTCAGCACTCAGCTCCAGAACATGGGCCAGGGGCAGGTACCCAATATAAATATCTTTTTCCCTGCAAAGAATTTATTTCAAAATATAGGTTTATGTTGTATCATTAGAGTCTTCAGATGCATCATTAAGTCAAATTCATGCAAAGTTTACTGCAGAAATGAGAAAGAAGAAAATGCCTTTGAGCTTGAGAGCATATTTCAAATTGCATGGGTTTTAAAAGTTGCATACTACACACTGTAGGTTTTAGGCATGAAAAAAGGGTGATGGTTACTCTGGTTACTGATCTCAAGACAATTAACCATGTGTTATGGCTGCAAAGGCAACTCAGTGGATGAGATTAAAAACTACACCAAGGAGAAAGAAGCCACAGAATTTAAACATTAACCATGGCAAGCACTGCTCAGGGAGGCTTTCAAATCACTCGAATGCAAGGTGGTGGCACAGGTTTTTGTGTCCTGGTCTTGCCCACATACCAAAGAGCAAAGAAGTAGTATCATGTCATTTAGTGCAGTGCTGGAAGATGCTCAGATGTCAGTGCATAGTATGATGTGTCACAGCCAGAGCAATATAAAACAGTTCACATCTTACACAGTAATTAATCTAAAATTAAATGCAACTACACGACTTCTTTACTTGCTGGTCAGTAACAGTTGGTACCCACCCCAGATTTGGGATCCTCTCAGCCATTCCAGTTATCCCAGCAATTATGTTGCAATGGGAGATCATAACTCCTTTGGGAATTCCTGTGGATCCACTTGTGTACATGATCACTGCAATATCCGAGGGCACAGGCCTGGATGGCTGCTTGTTTCCTGCAAGTTGTTAAAAAAACAGGATGTGTGATGTGTGGAGAGCCTGTCACGCTGGGAGATCTGACACACTGACACATTTCAGCAGTGCTGCAATATAGCACCACAGGACTTTTGTTATTACATTCTGCTTTTCCTTAAAAAAGACTGTGGTCAAGCTTAAGTGCCTTCGCAAAGAGTAGGAACTTTGCATTAGCTGAGCAATACTTTGACTGATTGTCCTTATCCACCACAACAGTTTTCCTATTACTTTTCCCCTACTCCTGCTGTGGAGAGAAAAACAGACAGAGCTTTGGCTCGTCCACAGCACCACTGAGCATCCCTGCCTTGGGAAGGTTCACTGCCCTGCGTCCACCCCTCTGTGCCTCATGTGCTCCCTGGCAGGGAACAACACTCTGCCTCATTTGCAACACCTGCAGAAAAGCACTGCTGAGCCAACCTGAGGTCCCATCTCCATACATATTTAAAAGAAGTTCAACAGCTTCAATTGGATTAAAGTGCTTTTTAAATACTTGCGTGAGAGCAAGAAAATCTAAAAACTACTGTGCTTACTCAGAGGAAACTGCATCACACACAGTGTATGTGGCACAGTGCACACACTGAATGAGAAGCATGAAAGCAACATTTAATAATTTTCCACTCACTGAATCCTGCCTATCCTGCACAATGAGCACCACAGAGGAAAAGGAACATAAGCAATAGCTCATCTACTTAATATTAATTGGACATGCTTGACCATAAACAATTCATGATAGCATTTCACAGTTTATGAATGGTTAACTTGAGAAAGACAAGGTAGCTTTATTGTAGTGCAGAGTACGTGATATTTAAAAGACTGAAGAAAGATTAAATACCTTTTTACATAGGACATAGATTAAAAAAATTCAGGGAGCTAGTGAATTAGAGCCAAAATTTTTTCTGCTGGTGTTGGAATAAACTGCTTTAGTAGTACAAGAAACTGGTATATCAAATGGAGAAAGGCATCTTCCAAAGAAATTAGAGGTCATGATGTTTGGAACAAATCTGCCATTCCCCTGAACATCAAAATCAGATGGATTGACCACCCCCCCACTCCTAAAATACAATCCAACATTCCTGAGCCTGCAGTAGTTGAGAGATTCTGATAACACAAAGGATAAGAACAAAAGAAAGCAATTACTGAATATATTGAAATCTTAAAATAGGATGGGCAGCTCTTCAGAGCCAAGAACAAAAATTTCTTAAGATTACAATTAAAATAAGTTCTAAAATTCTGAATTAGAGTTCTAAAAATATTACATAGACCAGAAATAGATTTCAATGAATTTACATAGATTGAAATGCTTTCAGAAATGAAGTAACCAAATTCTTTCAGATTCAAATGACTATTTTACATTTTGCTATCTGTGAATTTCACAAAACTTAATGGCATCAAATAACTGATTTCTTTAGTTATAAAATATACAGTGATTTTCCTTCTGTGCCCTGAATAACCTGGTTTTAATACATCCGATCATAAGAATGCTTTTTAAGCTTCTATCCCGAATTAATTGCTTATCCTAAAAACTACCCTTCAACCTGTGACACTTGATTGTGGAGTCAGTTTTTACTTTTTACTTACACCCCAAAATCCAACCACCCACAATGAAAATAAAACAAAAAACATGACAACGATTTTATTTGAAGGAAAAGGACGTAAGAAAAGGTTAAATCCGCAGAATTTTGAAATCTGCAGTTTCTTCAAGTTTACTCAATGGGGTCAAACTAGGGCATCAAAAGAGATGGTCTGAAGAGGAAGAACCTACCAGTGTCTGCCTTGGCCCCCATGGCTTGCACAGATGCCATGGTGTGAACAATGACGCCCTTGGGGAACTCTGACCACGTTGTGGGCTTGCCATCCACTGTAATTATATGTCGCAGTAGTGGGACTTGAGAAACAATTTCCTGTGAAAATGAAAAATAGGTTCAGAGATTAAAAATTTGTTTTATGCCAGGAAGTAAAAAAAACCAAAAAACAAAAGCAAGAACAAAAACCTCCATGCTATCTGCTGTATACTTTTTAAAAAGCACTAACATAAAACATCTCAGAATTTTAAAGGATAAACCTCCCAAGCTCAAACAGTAGCAAACCTTGAAGCTTACCAATTTTAAGTCCAAAAACTTCTCCAAACACTTACTGATCTGTATTTTATTTCATGAAAACCCCACAAATAAGACTGCAGTGATTTGTAGACATAATTGACTTTCCCTTCCCATAGAACACTGAGAAAAGCTGGTGATACTGAGCTCACAATAATTCTTTGGTTACTCCTTGGTTATTATGCTATTTAAAATAAGCAACAGCTAGCAAAAATATTGAAAATCACTAGTTAAGCATTTCAAGCAAAACGTGAGTTCAAAGACACTTATCAGTGTTCTCATGGAAGAAGAGATCATCACCTATAGCAGAGCAAACACGTTTTCTCACTGCAAGCTGAAATAAATGTGCATGGCATGGATACAGTCATTGTAGTAACTTCATTTTAAAGTTTGGGAAATTCTCATTCACATTTCCACAGCAGCACAGTTTTTCATTAAAACAATTTCCTTAACTGAAAGGTCCAGTTACCCCAAAACACACAATGATGAAACTCATGAAGATTAGTTGTTCCATTTGGGTATTCCATCAGGGTTAGTAAGTCAAAGTTCTTTGACTGTGCTAATGTTTAGCGAGCTTTTTCTCCCCCTGCATGGAAAAATAGCTCTAACTCTTTAAACACCTATCTTTAGATGTAAAAACCATTCTCTGCTGGGAAAACATCTGATAATAAGCCAGGAGCACGATCACAGTTAGCTCTTTATACATTTTTCTGTTCTTCCCATTGTTACATTTATAGGCACTCAATCCACCCAGAAACCACAGTTTCTTGTAAAGGTGTTTTTCCAGGCAGCACTCCAGCTCTGCAATACTGCAAATTGCCCATTCTCCAGTCACTGAGCAGCCTAAAACCCACTGAAAACACACTACCACTTTCTGCAAATGAAGACAGATACATAAATTTTCTTCCAAAAGTGTCTGCCTTATGGAAAGGCAATAAATCATTGCTCTGTACAATGGAACCAGGCCATTTAACAACGGTGGACAGATACACTGCAAAGAGATAGCCAAAGAGCAGTTTTCTGACCTTCAATTTTGTTTGCATCAGCTCTTTACTAGTAATGATGGTGGTCACCTCTGTTTCGTTCAGCCCGTGAACTATTGCTGGGCCTCCCAGCGTGGCGTACAGAGTAACAACTGCAACACAAAACAGGGCAAATGGTCAGCCTCTGGGTTACCTTTTCAAGTGTAGTTTATAAAAAAGAACTGAGATTAATCTATTCCAACTTACGCAGCACAGCAAAAATATTTGTCAACTCAAAGATGGGACAGTTTTGTATTTAAAAAGCCTCTTAACATGTGAATTTAAATACAGTGTGATCTTCAGTTACACCCAGAAGGAATAATGAATAACCATTCTCTATGTGACTGTTTACTCTTTTCCAAGGTCTAATTAGAGGTCCCAAAACCACATTACCTTGTGAAATTCTCCTGGATCTACTCTCATACTGTCACTCCTTTTACCATTTGAAAAGTAGGCAAACCTCCTCAGTTTAATCACTGTGTTACATTCCTCTTAAGAGGAATAAGAAACAGCTTTCATCCATGTGACTTCTCTTTCCAGAATTCACATACTCTGTCACTAACCTTTTACAATGGACTGCTAATAACAAATTATTACAGCATGGCAATATGTGTCATCAGCAGAGAATTCTCACACTCAGAAAGAAATCTGTGACTAGCTTATTCTGCCATCTATTTAAAATAATGTAATAGAGGTTTAATCATCACAGTCATTAGACCTTGAACTGACATCATGAGAATCATACAGAATAGCAAGAAAGAAAATATTTAGAAAATTGACTGTAAGAAACATTGTTTCCTGTTTGTAAGGTGAGATCATTAGTGAGTGTGTTACACAATGATTTCATATTAACACCTTTAAAATAATTTTTAATTTCCTGGCATTTTCAATGGAACTGAATGACAAGAGACCAAAAGAGACTAGGGAAGAAAAAGGCAGCTAAAAATTGTAGAGAAGTATTGCTCTCAAAAAAAAAAATTATATTTTCCAAGCAGAACACTAAACAGGGACATCTCATAAAATCTCTGAGATCAATCAACACAATCCATGATTATAGCATTCTTGCTGGGAGTTTTGTCATATCCAGTATCTGAATATCTTCTGCTTTTTAGTCTGTATATAGCTGAATATTTAAAGAATGTAAGTATGAAAATAAGACAGCCCATTGTACATTAGGACTGTAATCACTGCAGAGAAGATTAAAAATTAAAATTAAATAAAGTTCTGTTGTATTTTAAGATTTTTATTTTAATATTTTAAATCCAAGGAGCTACTAACCCAAAACAACTCAAAAGCAGTCTTCTTACACAGAAAAGTAAACAGCTGACCTCTACTTATTTTTTTCTTGTTAAAACAGCCCATCATAGCTCAGAACTGTTGCAGGGCAAACGCACATGCACTGTGTTTTCTTTAATTTGGTGGGAGCAAAGTCCAGAAGAGTGCCTCTCCTCGTTCCCACGAGCTCTCTCTCCTTACTGCAGTGACCCCTGTTATATAAACATGTAGCAGAAATTCAGCTGCCCCGAGCCAACAAGCAGAACCGAGCTGACAACAGCGCCCAGAAGGCAAAGCACCATCTCGGCAATAACCACGGGGGTACTTAATTACTCATCTGCAAATAAGTACATTAAGACACTCAGAGCTATATGACAGAGCCAAAGGGAAAGAGAGCCCATTTATATGATGGTGCACTGATGTCATGGAGAGAGAAAAAAAAAACAAAACAGAGCAATGACTCATCTCTGAAATTCTCCCTTCTCCACACTGGCACCTAAAACTTTTCAGACAAATACAAAAGTTTTGATAGTTTTTTTCTCTCCTCATTCTCTTGAAAATGTACTGAGAAGGGATTATTTTGTATTCACCTTTATACATGCAACAGTACAAGTGAGTCTTTGTTATCTGACCAAAGACTTGACAAAAAAATCTCCAACCACACAATCTACCAGCTCGTAGGAAAAGACAAAACCTTACCCTAAAGAAAGAAATAGAACTTCTACAATTTATTTCAAGGTAACTGGAATGTTAAACTGAGTATTTCAGCACCCATCATACATCAAGAATAAAAAGCAAAATGAACTTTTAAAGGCTTCAGCCAAATTTACTTCTAACAAAACCACTTCTGCTCAAGCATGACTGAAAAACGAATCCTAACCTCTCCTATTCCACCATTTGGCTATGCACTTTTGTGCTTTATCTGCCTGCTCTGGTGAAGAGCTGTTCACACACATGAAGAGGTACTCAGGAAGAAAATCTGTTTTCATGTTAGTACTACTTCTTCTGTCTCTGATGTAGCAATCCCACTCTACTTCCTGCAAATGTAAGACTTAGAGAATTTTAGAAAAAGTCACATTTAAAATAAAGCAAGTATTTATAACCATAAAGTAACTCGTTTGTGCAAGTAATCCATAACAAACATCATTCTCCTCATTTTAATTCTATAGTGCAAAAGGCATTTTCTCCAACACTGCACAAAGCAGATGAACCTGCTTTGTTGACACCAGCTCTAGGACCACTCCCTCAGAACACATCTCACATTTGGAAAGAATGTCCCAACACCTCCACAGCAGTTTGCTGGTATCACCCCTGCACACTCAAAAATGCTGACATAAGCCATTTAGCAATCTCTTGCCACTATTACTGAATTGTTATTCAACATCATCTGAATCTTCCAATTTGTCCTGCAAGCTGCCTGTGAACACTGCACAGCTCTCTCTTCATCTGCCAGCACGAGTCAGCCAAGTTCACAGAAGATGTCACAGCTTAGATGCTGAACACCACGTCAGAGTGTGTGTGGAGGCACGTCGCAGCAAGGGGATTTAAAGCACTAATCCAGCAAACCCAAAAACACACACATACCATTCTGCTCACAACATCCAGCCCCTAGCTCAATTTCCCCCCCCAAATTACAAATCTCTCTAGGATTTGTAAATGTGCTTCTGTTCAAAAGGGAAAAAATTATACAAGCCCTTGCATTTTATTCCCAGGAAAGCCACTAGGAATTTGACAGATCCCAGAATTGATAAGAGGGAACTGGCACAGAGACATGTAGTTTAAAAGCAACACAGGCATCTTATCTGAAAATAGTCTGTGCAGTTCTCTGCTCTGGTTGGCAGCCCAACAGCATTTACTCACTGAAGAACCAACCAAAAACATCAGCAATTTAGGTGGGAAGGCACCTGCAAAGATCACCTGCATGCACCACCCATTGCAGCAGAGTGCTCAGAGCCACGGCCAGTCTGGGTTTTATGGTCTCCAAGGATGAAGATTTCACAACCACATCTTATTGAAGGAGGGTCAACGTGGCACAGGAGGGAAAAGGCCAAAGCCTGTGAGGAACAGCAGTTTCTGGCATGCCCAGATGGGACAAGATGTTTCCCCCCGAGAGCACACAGAACCCAGCCAGGCTGGGCTTAGCTAGGTAAAGGACATATTAAGGAGCAATGATGAAACAGACATTTAAACTGCTATAGCACACTGAGACCAGCACTCAGTACATTCCTTACCTAAAAAAAAAAGGCCCAACCAAAATCAAAATTGAAGAACTGACAAAATATCCAGATAAAACAAAACTTGCAGGCACAGATGAAGGTTTGACGTCAACTCCTGAAACTGAGTCAATGAATTCATGTGTGATTTTTGTTTGTTTGTTTTCAGAAACTTGGGAATCTGTACTGATTTGAGATGAAAAGAAAATAAACCTCTCACAAATTCATTGAGCAAACTACACTTACCAAAACCATTCTCCCCATCTGCCAACAGATACAGGTTTCTCTACTCACTAAAGCAAAAGGCTACAAAGTCCATAGTTTCTGCCTTAAGCAGTATTTTTTAATTTGAAAACTTTAATGTTCTCTATAAAATCGAGATAAAAGTTTTCTTAGTACATAAAGCAAAGCAAAAAAGAGTTTTATTTTCAGATTGTGAGATCAAAAGCCATAAAAACTTCAGGGAAGACAGGTACTCACGCTGGTAATTGCACATAAAGCAGGCCTGGGCTGCAATCATCCACTCAGCTCTGGTCTCACAGAAGATAGCAATGTTAGTCTTTGGCTGCTGACCCAAGACTGCTAAGCCATTTCCAAAATTAACAGCTTTAATGTATACATCTTCGTAAGAAAGCCAGGTGTACTTGCCAAGGATGACCTAATAACAATAAGAAAATCAATTTAGAAAATGAAAATCCTTAACACATATCCTACTACATCTTCACCCACGTGAAGAATCCATGGATGTTTGAATAACATGTGCTTGAATTGTAACTGCAGTTTATTCAAGATAAAGATGACACTTTTTCTTGCCAAAAGCTACAGGGCCTTTGGAAGTTCCAAAATAAATACCATATCACAATGCAATATCTCCATGCCTGTTTCCACCTCAGTTTCTATTTTCACAGAAGGGAAAGCACATGATTTCCACCATCTTATGTAGCTTCAGAAGTCCTCTGAAAGACTGTTGGTTATCTGGCCCACATACCTCTACTTTTTAAAGAAGTTTGGTTTATGTAAAGGATGGGAAGCACCAGTTAGCACAGTACATTCTCTGTATTTGCTTTCTTGGATATTTGGGCTACAATTCTACACAAATATGACAGTCAGATGTTCATTAAAAAAAAAAAAAAAACTTGAAAAGGGAAACTGGAATCCAAAAAGCAGTATATCCATGGGCGCTCAGTCAGAAGTTGTGAAATCCCTTTCCCTTTGTTCTGAAACAAATGTCAAGGGGATGAGGAGTAATAATTTTGCCTTTTTTTACTGTTAAACAAAAGTGGGACAGAAGACAGGATAGGAAATTAACTGGCAAACCTCAGTTCTGAGAAGTCATGTAGAATATATTAGGCAATCTCACTTTTCCATATGGGAAAGCTGGTGTACAGTAAAACTGGATTTGAATTTACAGGTTTCTGTATGCACTTGCAGTACTGTTTCCTTTCTGACTGGTAGGATATTCCTTTGACACCAACCTAGAAATTTTCATATGTAGATATAGTATGAAAATGTTTTATACTGAAAATCTATACTTCAAATTATTATATCCTACCCATCTATTTGTATAAGCACACTGACAATTCTGAAAAACAATTTCTTAATCAAGTATTTCAGACATGTTCTTTACAAAGCATTAGTAATAAATGCAAGCAAACACTACAAAAACTAGAAAAGCTAGAACTAGAAAACTCCTTCATTCCTTCTTCCATATTTCATTCATCAATGTGAACTAAATTTCAAACTTCAGGCTGTCAAATCTAACAATTTTTGACATGTAACTACATTTCTAATGAGTCTGCATTTCCACATCTACTTCTTTAATAAAACATGTTTAAAAATCTCCCTCAAATTCCAATAGAAAATAAAATTTAGTACATTTCCTTTGTCAAGACACTTTTCCAAACTGTTTCATAGTTAAAATTAGTTGCAACAGTGAGTTTTACCTACTACAGTTCACTGCATGTTGCTCATTACCCTACTTGTTTAGCAGGACAAACGGGTACATGTGCAGCTGCTTGGAATTTCACAAATGTCTTTATGGGAAAATATCATTTAACAAGCCCAACAAACAACATTTGTCAATAACAGCAATATATAGCAATTCTACCAGAAAATACAGATTTCTCACACAAATATCTGCTCAGGTTTTCCTGGCTTATTTTCAAAAACTGTTTCAGTGGCAAACAGGCTGTTTCAAACCCCAAAACCTGGGAGTCCCTTTTTGTTTCAACACACTAGGATATTTCTGGTGTGGAAAACTCGCACTGCTTCCAAAAAAAGTATTGCACCTCTTCCTGTCCATCCAAATTTTGGTAATTTGGAATTTAAATTCCAATTTGGGATATTTTTTCCCCAAAGGCAATATTTTTGGCAGACGGGGAAGTTCTTGACAAGCTCATCAGTTGAAAACAATTTATAGCAGTGACTTGGGCCATACCCTTTCCCTCATTATACTCTGCCTACAGTGCAGCCTCAGGAAAACTGCTCACAAATAATTAGGCCAAGAAATACAAGCAGATTCTTGTTACTGTTTCTGGCAAGCTTGCCAATCCTTAAGAGGTTTTAGTAATTTCCATCACTCTCACTGAACTGGGGAACATAAAGCAGTAATTGGCCAAAAATTAATCTCTCCAAATAATACTTGTGATTCTGTTTTCTTCCCCTTTTTTTTTATTCGCTTAAATAATTCATCTTAACCTTGTTGATATGTAGTGAAAGACCACTTCATTGCTGCTTTCTTTTCTTAAAAAGGAAAAATCCTTTTTAAGGATGTGTAGCACCACTGGCTGTAGCTATTTACATAAAAATACATTTCTGAAGAACACTGACGTGGGAGGAGGTAAGACCTTTTTCAATGCAGTCATTTTGAGTTTTACTTTCCTACTGCCTTCCATATATTCAAATTCTAGTGCTCCTTCCCCTTGGCCAGTATTTCTTCACTACTCCATCCCTACAACATTTATATTACATATAAATACATATAGTGAATAACAGCTATTCATATATATGTATTACTAAACTGTCCCTTTCTAAGTCCCTTTCTCCTGCATTTCTCTACCTCTGCTCCCTCTGCAGGACACGGAGCAATTACAGCTCATCTCATACTCCTCATGTTGGAGTGTGTCTCCAAACCCACTTCCCTTCTTGGCCTTGCCCTCAGTAGCTTTTGCTAACATTTTCCAATGTACAGGCAAGAAAGACAAGGAGCTACTGGACAGAGTCCACTGGATGCCACAAAGATGAGGGGTCTGGAGCATCTCTCTTGCAAGGAGAGACTGCAGGAGCTGGGTCTGGTTAGTCTGGAGAAGACTGAGGAGATCTCATTAATGCATACAAATATCTCAAAGGTGTGCCAAGAGCATGGGGCCAGGCTCTTTTCAAGGGTTCCCAGTGATGGGACAAGGAGCAATGGCCATAAACTAAAACAGAATAAATTCCACTTCAACACGAGCAAGAACTTCTTGACATTGAGGGTGGAGAGCCCTGGAGCAGCTGCCCAGGGAAGGTGTGGAGTCTGCCTCTCTGGAGACATTCCAAACCCACCTGGACTCATTCCTGTGCCACCTGCTCTGAGTGACCCTGTCTGGGCAGGACTGGATGATCTCCAGAGGTCCCTTCCAACCCTAACAATTCTGTCATTCTGCTTCTGCTGCCAACAGGTGCCAAGACTGGCATCAGGCACCACAATCCTTTAAACATTCACACACCTTTCACTTAACAGCTTCCACAGGGTACTTCTGCTCGGCAAATAAGGGAAAGAAAATAACTATCCAAGAGCTGGCAGGAGGGCCCAGGAAGAGAATTTGAGCAGAGATGAAGGGCCCACAGTGCCCAGGCAGCAGGACCCGCAGCGCCGGGCGTCCCTGGAAACACGGCATTCCATAGGAGAACGCCGCCCTCTCGTGCTCCAGGCTCACACTGCAGCCTGTCACACTGCCACACAACCCTAGGAACTGTCCACACTCTACTCATGTCTGGAAATTCACAGAAGCAGAGATTAAACACACAGCTAGCATTTCTTTTACCTGGATTTTAGAAACAAATTAATTTTTTTTGGGCAAAGGTGTAATAAAACGTTCTTCATAAAGCTGCAGGCTCATGCAGAGTCATTAAACTACCTGATCTCAGTTACCTTTGAAGGTCTACCTAAAAGTACCTTATAAGGTTTAAAGAACATTGACTATGATTTGGAAACCAGTGATCATGAATTAAATACATCTTCCTGTAAAAGTATATTAAAAATAATACAAAGGAGGTTATTTCAAATGCCCACTTTTGGTTTTCACATGAACATGTGGATTGCAGCTGAATATATCTGAAAAACCCCACCCTAACATACCACTTACACAGCAATCTATGGTTTTCAACATCAAAAGTGACTCTCAATGCTCAATGACTTGGCATGGCAAGAACCTTCCTGAACCTTCACTTTAAGCTTCAGTATCAGCAATAATGAGTAACGTTATGAATTCCCAAGAACTGCCCATGTGCCTGCTGTTGCACCCAAGTCTCTCAGGCTTTAGATGCATCACCATCCCCAACAAAGCTGTGTTTTCTTCCCCCCACTGTGTCTTATTTATTATGTTCCCAATAATTCTGCTCTTGGTTACCAACCCTTTTTAAAGCCGAGCAAGACAAACAAACAACCCCCAAACCAGACAGAAATCTCCCTCATAAAATAAAGCAATGAAAGAACACACAAATAAAGCCAAATCCACATACCAACACAGATCGAAGCAAGCACCTGATGACATAACCTATAACTAAGACAACACAAAATAATGAAGCTCATCTTTTGGGCATCATAAAATTTCAGCTGTGGTTAAATTAAGTCCCTTTTCCAATTAATTACATCTTAATCTCAGAGGTATTTTCAACTTTATTTTATCCTGACTTAAATGCATGGTTTATGAAATTAATATTAGGTATGCATGATATTGGAGAAGGAAACTGGAGAGTACTCTATAGAAGGAAACAGAAGAACTAACCATTTATGAATTACTATGAAATGAAACAAGTGCCTAAGTAAGTATTTGTATTTTATTCACATCCATGAATTTCTACTACTTTGGAATCAGCACAGAAACAAGTATTTTTGCAACAATACACTATCATAAAAATTCTTCACATTACAGATAATCTGAGATATCACTGTTCTCAGAAGAAATTAATGGAGTACCTGATCTTAAAGATGTTAAGAAGCTCTAAATAATTTTAGCTACAAGTGCAAGGACACTTAGGTTTCCCAATAATCAAAAGCTGAATATTTTACTTTTTTGAGATATATATATAAAATATAAAAACATGTTGCAGCTCCTGTAAGATGTAGAAATAAGATGCATTATACCTAAGAATTAAACTTGTTGAGCACCTTTCTGAAAGGCTGCACCAAACCACAGCAAGCTGGATTTGCTAAAGGAAACCAGGCAATAAAAGGTACTTGGAATGAAACAAATCAAAGGAAGATAACCTGACATTTAGAATCAACAATGTATCTTGTGAAATGTTCCTCACTTGCTAACACATGCTATGAGGTCTTCAGAAACACTGTATTCCATAACAGAAAAAAAAAAAAAATTTAATGTGGACTTATATGATAATGCCAAAATTTGGAACAAAGTAACAGGAGAGTAAGTATGGGAATTGACCACAATGAAACCTTGTGTCAAGCTTAGACAAAATTACCTAACTAGGGTAATTTCTAAGCCTAAATACTCACAAACAAGTAATTTAAGTGGATCAACACAAACATCCTTCAGCTTTCCATATTCACAACACTTTGCTTGCATAATGGAAAAGGCTAAAACTCCTAAGTCCTTAAGGCTTACATTCAAAATTATGATTAAAAAACAGGACACATGTTTTTTATGTAAAAAACAGGGCAGCCAAAATTCTGATCTGTGCTCAGAAGCCATTCTTTGTACAACATGAACTTTCTGCTTCTTTGTAGGGTAATGAGGCAGCAAAATCTGCATGAAGCACATTTCCTTCATACTGCAAAACTACCTCCACGGCTAAGGGGAAGTTTCACTAACAATAAAGTTTGTATAAGGATTTTAACAGAACTAAACTTTGCCATATATTGTGATATTAACCAAATTAGATTTTTAACATACTCCTCCATCAGAATTAAAACTAGCAGCATGAAGAGAAATTTTCTCCATCTGCACAGAAACTAATCTTAACTAAAAATTATCTATTATTGACTTAATACCTTCTAAAACAGAAATGCAGCACTTTAACACAGATGCACAAATATGAACATTCTGTGGCAGTGTTCTGCCCTTCTTCTGGCAAAAGTGCATTTCTCAATGTGTCTGAACAACTACAAAGCAGCAAATGACAATACAGGCTTGAACATAATACACTATAAAAAGTCAGTCCCTTGAAACAACAGAGCTGTTGTCAGATACTGAAATCACATCTCCCACACACATCAGGATTACAGATTAGCAGAGCAGTTCACCTTAAAGGAGACTCAATGTAAAAAAAGACTCTTCAATGAAATCTGAGCAACCCTTTTCCAAACAATAAATTTATTTAAGTCCTGAATTCCCTGGACAGAACAGAAAATCCTTAAATCACAACTAAGTCTGTTAGAAAGGTACATCTGAATACTGGCATCTAGTATTTTTGTATATTTATCTGATGACAGTTCAGAATAACACAAAGGGAGACTTTCTAAAATTCACTTTAAAAAGAAACCTTTAAAACCACTTACATCACCAGCTGAATATTAAAAACAAATACCTAAAACATACTTGTGGTTTTTCTTTGACTGAAACCATAAATAGGATATCTATTCAAGAGTGCAAAAAGGTTTAGATTTGGTTTAAATGACAAGTATTGAAAGACTGGGAATTAGATCATTTGTTTTGCCAGCTACTGAATCTAAGCTGAGAAATTTATTCTTTCCCCAGCTTTGCTTTACTAGACTAGAAGTGCTGTGTAAAAAAGTAAACATACTTTGAAAAAAACTCTTAAACTCTTGAAGGCAGACTGCAAAAAGACTTACCTTTTTAAAAACCTTTCCTGATGGCTGGATTTCATCTTCCTCTTTCAGAATTTCACGTGTTCCCAAGAGTTTTTTGTCCTTGTATTTCGTTTTAGCATATTTAAAAACTTTGTCGAGTGTATCACACCCAGGATATAAAACTGAAGCTAAGCAGTGCAGACTGTTCACAGATCTGTATGCACCCCCAGGCTTGTTATTCACAGGCCTGGCTTTAACCTGCTTGGCTTTTGCTATAGCCTGCTTTGATCCTGAAAGGATGTACCATGGAATGTAGGTTACGAGGGAGTACACCAGGACTATGAAGTTTATAAACTGTAAAAGAAGAGGGTTGATGTTATGCTTCAACTTCATTTTGGCCGCTTGAGAATGTTACAAGAGACAGTTTGGAAACATGGATCAGCTAGACAGGGGTCCAAAAAGATCTGAAAAAGAGAAAGGAGAAAAGGAAAGGTTAGTAGTAAACGATCACAGTTGGCAGGAAGTATTTTTAAACATGATATTACAATCCCTATCCCAGTAGGTGTCTTTATGCAGGAGTCAGAAGTCTGAGCCCCTCACACAAATGAAAGCAGACACACGAGGTGGAACTGTTCCACTCCCCTTTAGCAGACTGTAGTACAATGACATGTGCATCTCAGGTATTTATCTGAAAAAGTTTTGTGATTATACAATTTAAAAGACCCTCTTCAACATCACAGCACCTCCATGTGCACCTTCACTAGGAATCCCTATGACCTCTGACTGGGAATCACCAGCCTCCAAACAAGCCCTAGGAACACAGGCGATGCCACCACTCTGCACATGGGAACCCCAACCATCAAGGATGTTGAAATGTTTCCCAAGTGTTGGACACACTGGGACACCCACCTGAGAGAAGAAAAGCTGTGTATGTGACAGAACTTTGCTGTTTTATTCCTAGGGACTTCCCATCAGTCCTAAGATTTCAGTCTGAGAACCACTATCCAATAAGCCCACTTGTATTAATAAACATGAGCTAAGTAATATTGGGTAAATACCAGAAAAGGGCTTATAAATATCCCCAAATTCCTAACAACAGCACAATGAAGAGATGTGTAACTTTCCAGAATCCTTAATGATGCCAGGATACTCACTTTGTCTTCTTTAAAAGCATAATTTAGTATATCTAATGACTACAATGATGATGCAACTTTCTAATGTATTCTACTGTTGAGTCATGAAATTATGCGATCTAAAAGATTAAAAAGGTAAATCAAAACAAAATAACTGAAACCCTTATGGAAATCAGGGATGGTTGCCATAATGGCTAAAGATGAATTTCTGCAACAGCCAATAAGCCACTAGCTGAAAACCAGCATTTTGTACATAATAAACTACAAATGCACTTCACTCAGTTAACCTTTCAAACTTACTGATACAATTTATTAAAAGTGGTATCATAAATCAAGCAACTAATAATGATGTATACATAAGCTGCACAGTTTTTGACAATTCTAAATTAATTAAATTTTTACTAATGAGATGTATTATTCTGTGCTGATGTCTTACACTCTCTGACTTTTCCTCCCATTAACTCTCTGAAAACCCTAATGAACAGAAATTTGAGTTGAAAAAAGTCATGTTTAAATCATATAAGATCCTTCAGTAGCAATGGAAAGAAACCTTGTTTCATTAATCCTGGATCTGCAGTCCTTATGGGAATGGATCAACCCAGCATCCTTCATTTCTAGGATGAGATTCATTACATCTTTCTCCAAAACACAAAACTTCTTAAAACTCCAAGCAAAAATATTTGACTATCATCTTTTTCCCTAACAAGCTGCTGTAATCTCACTGTTAACACTGCATCATTACAGGCAGCTTGAAGGGACCAAACAACATCAAAGTCTGTTCTGCAGAGCACCCTGAGACACATACTCAAATAAACCACAGGAGCTCTTCACAGCAGGAACTTACTGCAACAAGCAGAAGTGGAGAAAAGATTTAAAATATTTAAAAAATTAAATGGAAGTGCATATATTTTAATTTTCAGATCAAAGGCAAAAAGCAATGACAAATAGAAAACAAACTTAAATAGGCTAAAGGGCAAATTCAGTAATCACTTGAAGAGACTTATGTTCTTAGGGTGCCACTGAAGGATACTTAATGAAAATAATCATGAGCCAGCCAATCAGCTACTGCAGGCCAGAAAAATTATACTGTTGTTGATAGCAGCACAGAACAAGATGTTTAACAGCTGAATCCAGAGTTCACACAACAAGGGTTTACCCATTTTTTAAAGAAGTTTTATGTTGTATTACTATTTTGCCTGGCACAGCTTAGGAGATGAACATCTCTTTTTCTCCTTATAAAGCTGCAGAACTTCTCTCTGCCTAAAAAGTAGAAACAGAATTTAACCAAACACTGCTAGGTATGAAAATTAAAGCAATTTATTTGACAGCTTATTAATTTATGTAATTTCCTTGGTTAGAGAGGCACTGAACCCTTCCAGAAGAGCAGCTTCCCATTTCATTTTGCAGTTAGTTATCCCAACAGCTTTATACTTTTCTCAGAAGGAGAGGGGAACCTTTTCTACTATTTCTATGATAACTATGCCAAGGTGTCATGTCAAGCCCTCTCTTCTGGCTCATCCTCGCATAATAAGCCCCAAACCTGGAAATCTTTGCTTTGAAATGCAAACATAAATTGTGCTTTGCTCACCATTTCATGAAAGGCTGCATTGCAAGAAAGGGTCTAAGGAACACTCCAACAGCACAGATTAAAGGGAAACATTTTGGACTGTCCCCTGGCTCAGAAAAGCAAGCATCCTGCTCTAGAACTCTGACGTACATCTCTTAAAATGCTAATTATTTCAGTTATTCCTTCACAAAAGTGAGGCTATTACCAATCATCTATTGAAAACAGTTTGTTTTAAAAATTAAGACAATTTTTTTCACTCAAAATGTATTGTTTTTAAGATTCAAAATTATCTTTTGCAAATGAAGTTCCTTGTCTTACAGGCTGAGTAAAAGTCCATTTTTTTCCTTCAAAAACCTTACAATTATGAGACAGCAAACTTTAACTAGAGAGGTGCCAATGTCTTAAGAATTTGGCAATGGATTTCAGACTGTGATATTTACAGAGCATCTATGCTTGTAATTAATTGTAATTACCATTGTAATTGGACATTGGAAAAGTGCAATGCCTTTTGGAACAAGAAAGAAAAATATATTCCAGTAGTTTCATTAGAAGAAAAAGCTCCAGGATCTTTGTAGGGTGATGGTTCTAAGGAGAACTGAGCCATGACATAAAGGAAGTTCCTTGCTGGCAACATAAAGGCTCCCCCTCTTTCCTTGCGTAACTGAAGAACAGAAGCTGCATTTTAACTCATAATTTTGTTGATTTATTTGCTATGTTGTTGAGGAGGAAAATATCAGGTAGGAAAAGGAGATGCAGTTTAAAATGCCTTTGTGCTCAACAGATTTATAACAGCCATTCCCAGGAGAACATAAAAGTCAGCTAAGTGGATCACTAAACATTCAATTAAAAATCATTTTGATGACAGTGTAGAAGCAAAACCCTACCCTGACTTGAGGCTGGAGTGCTAGATGTAAAGCAATTATGACTTACAGCAAGCAAAACCAATGCAGCTGAACACGACAGTACATTTTCTGTTGGCTTTTTTTCCTTATACAAAAGGTCACTTAACCTCCATTAAGACAACCACTTTTAATGACAATGTAAAAGAACAACACTGTTTACATTAAGAGACAATGCTTGCTCATGCATTCTTCTATGTAACAATTATTATTTCAAACCCTTAATGTAAGCTATTTTAAAAACTCAAAATGAAAACACAGTATTAAAAATCAACCTGCGGAACTAATCTAAAAATTAGAAGTTTTAGTGAAATTTTCAAGGTTATATCAGATCTGGAAGGCCTAAAAAGGAAGCAATGTTTGCTGTTTAACATTCTGCCTTTTAAAAAAAAAAAAAGTACTACCCAACAAAACCAAAACTTTGAAAGGTTTAGTGAAATACTATACATGGTTTTAACAATATGTTGCACTTTTTAATTTTGGAAGTAGATGACTGCTTCGGACCATAAAAGGAGTGTAAGCAAACCCATCATTTTGGGGCAGGGAACAGAAAGCAGAGGACATGATCCTAAGCAGTTTTTGAAAGTATGAGACTATGGCACAGTGAGAAAGTACACTGCATTTTCAGCACTTTTATTCTTACGTAGCTCCTGCTTAATCACTGACAAATAAAAACACATGACATGTGGTAATATTCTAACTCAGTGGTTTGGTCTGCAGATAAGCTGTAAACACTCAGGTTCTTACAGAACATGAGTCCATCTTGGTTTCACATAATCCTGCCGGGGTTTTTGAGGATTCAGTGCTCAGATCCTGACTAGTAATGCAGGAAAGGTTGGGAGGTGAAATCCTGGATGAAAGAGCTGCTAATTTAAACAAGAATACAATACAGAAAATCTGCTCAAGCAAAGGGTTCTGGACATGCATAAGAGCTGTTCAGTTACATCTAATTCATGTTTAGTCTGGTAGTCACCAAATGGGAAAGAGCAAGAAGATAAATTAAGTTTGTCACACTTTTTCAACAGCAGAAAGAAGCAACAACCAGTGCACTCATTCACAAGTCTGGAGAAATAAACCAGTACTTCTCAGGACTGATCCTTCTTAATACATAATCAGTGATTTGGGCTGATATAATACTTATACTAATACTGTTATACCCTTTGGTTTCAGAAGAAAACTTTTGTTAGATGAGAAAGAAAAAAAATCCTTCAAGGAATGTGTTTACTAATTGACCTGCTTATAACAACTACATTACAATAAAAGCATGAATTAACAATAAAAAAAGGAACCTTATGCAACTTCTCATCGTGGCAGGTACAGGTACAAGAGCTGATACAAGATGTTCCAGTCTCAGTTTACTCAACAGGAGCTGTCACAGGCAACTGCATGAAATCTAAAAATGGAAAATTCCCATTAAATATGGCAATTATAAAACGCATCCTCTATTTTCTCACTCATATTTTGTAATAAATAATACCTTTTTCTCATTTGATACTGCACTGTATCATCTCAGAGAATCTAGGCCCAGCGCATGCAAGTTCACACAAAGCCAGATGTGACACACAGCACAGCCACTGCTCAGACTCGAGTCCTGTACAATCAAGGTGGCTGCAGCAGCTTTGGCTGAACTCAGGAGCTCATGGTATTTGTCTCCCTGAGAAATTCTAACTCCCCAGTGCCTTCAACCATTGAGGCAGGAAAAAAATTGACCTATCTTTGTGTATCCACCCACACAGAGAACGCACTTCAGCCTGAGTAATAAAATAGCCTTGAACACTTTACAGAAAGACTTAATAAAATAGTAATCATTGCATTTATTGATTTTGCTCTACTATACATTTAAGTTTTATTTATTGTCCTTTGCAGAAAGAAGTCTTGAAAACCTGTGCCAGCAAATCACATTTAAAATATAAAGGCAAATAAAGGCAAATGTAAACATTTTGTACCGATTACCTTTCAGCAAACATTACTATTTACACAGTTCTTAAAGATAATCTTTTCCAGTTTCAGTGGATTAACTATTTGCTGCTTAAGGTAAGGATCCAGGATGCTCACTGCCCTGGTTTTTGACTTACATGACTTCACACATACTAACCAAACTCCAACCCAGAGACTCCAAGATACTCTTGCAAAGAAACCATTTTGGTCAACGATTTGTGGTGTATAAATACATATTCAATTTCTCTTATCAGTGAATCTTGCAATTAAGAGTCACTGAAAGGATAAAAAGGTTATTCACTGGGTTAGGCTGTAACAGACAAAACAATTGAATACCTTCATGTACCAATCTCTTGATTACAGAATATAACAATAGGAGTTCTCAAGACAATGTAAAAATGCCCTTAATACTTCTAAACTGTACCAAAAAATAGCCTATATTAGTTTACATCTGGACTCGAAAAGTAACATTAACAACCCTGAAGAGGCAGGCTTCTACTACATCTGGAATTCACTCAAGAGCTGTCAGTATTTGCTAGCACTCAGCAAGTAAGCCTTTCTTTTACAAAAAGAAGAGACCAAAAAGAAAGAAATCCCTATTACTGATTTATAAATACTCATGTAGTCATCTGTATAAAAATAAGAAGGCAAACCAAATGTGCACAGACACAACAGCCAATGTTTCACAAGCCAACTCCCTGGACTGTGAAACAAGGAGGGCCTGAGGCGATGAACGGTGCAGAGGAGAATCCCAAACATGTACCTGCCCAAGGGGAAGGTCTCTTTTGCAATATGGCTTTAAGGGACAGTTATATTTCACAGGTAGAGCACAAGTGTTTCACATATTCCTTGAAACAGAGAGGACAGAAATCCCAGCAAGCCCTACTGAATGCTAGAAATGGATGCTTTGGGTCCCTGGAGAGGAGCTGGTTCTCAGCACATCCTCCCAAATCGGAATCAACAGCAGAATGGGCACAAGGACACACCTCACCTCCCCAGCCACCCTTCACCGCTTCCCACAAGCCCCCCCTTTCACCCCCTCCTGTATTCCCTGCAGTGTATTCACTGCTGCCCTGGCATTGTTTCTGGAGGTGTGCTGCTCTCCAGGGCCCAGCACCCTCCAGGCCATCCTGGCAGATCCCTCTCTCACAGGCCCTGTGGTTTCCACACAAGTGCACACACTGTCCTTGTCCCCTGCTTGCTGATTTTCCAGCCTCCGACCCCTCCCAGTCACCCTTTTCCAGGCTGCTGCCTGGGTCTCAGCATCACTGCTAGCACAAGGGAGACCTTCCATAAGCCTCCCAAACATCCCCAAAACCCTTCTCCAGGCAGATCTGAACCCTGTTACAAACAGGAGTGCCTCTCTTCAGTCAAGCTGGGAACATGTCAATGGCTCTGTCTCAAAGGACATTGCTTTCTAGAGGGAGGAAATGCACTGCTCAGCACACTGACCCCCAGGAACCCCCACCCTCTGGGAACAAATCCAGCAGGACCTTCCTCAACAGCTCCACATGACCATTCAGGGCTCGTCACAGGCATGGAACAGCCTCTGCTACAGAAAGATCTAGAAGAGGATTGCATGGCTGTAACTCAGGTGCACACTCAGCCAGAGGTTCTCCTGAAACTTTCAAGCAAGCACACAAGAAACTAATTCCCACATCAACTCCAGCCCCTGATGTCTCACTCCCAGTCCTGTCTCTCCCTGTACTTTGCCCTCCCTGCTGCTCCACATTCTGTGAACTGCTGTGATCAAACACAGAAAGAGGGATGGTGGGAGACCAAAATTGCTATTGATTACGTCTCTGCTCTCAAAAGGAAGCAGATATTCAGGGCATTGAGAGAATAAACACCTCTGAAAAGACAAGTAGGGTAATTCTGAGCTACCTTATTCAGATCATCTGTAGCCTCCAGCTGTGACCCACCTCTAGCACAAGCCTGGGTGAATCCCAAGACTCCTTAAATGCTTCCCCTCGCTCTGCCAGGGAACACAACGCTGGCAGATGGCCAGAGCCATCACAGCACACCCACTCCTGCTTCCACAACTCGACCCACTCAACGCTTCAGCATGAGCAAACCTACAACTGAGCTCCAGTCCCGAGGGAAACTCGGGCACTGCTCTGCAGGAGCATGGCTCTGAAAAGCACACACAGACACAGACCAGCAGGGAAGAGGCATCATCACCTGGAACAAACCAGTTTCCAGGTAGGAGCTCAGCAGACTGCTGGGGCAGCAAAGGTTGTGCATGAACTGCACAGCCCGAGGCTGTGATTTCAGTTTGGCTCAGGCAGATTTAACGCTGGGCTGCTAATAAAAACAGACTGTTCATCTCCAAAAGGTAATTCCACTCTTGCCCTCCATTGGACCAACACAGAGTGCCTGTGTGGCTAGGAATGAGTCAGATTAGCTTGTTGATCCAGTTTAAACCCTCTCCTTCTCAGGGTGGAAAGGTGGATTTTCCTTTGGATCAGCTTCAGTTTGAGCCTACCATGAGTCACTGCAATCACCTAAATCAACAGAAAATTAGCACTACAAAAGATGTTATTCTTCTGCTATGCAAAGTGAGTAACCACGAATTGACAGGAGTTACTGACAAGGCAAAACAGGAGGAGGCAGGGAAGGAGGCTGGCAGTGGAGCTGCAAATGAAAGCCCGCTGGGCTGTGGGTGAACCGGGCTCGGCACGGGACAGCAGGACACCCTGTGACACGGCTGTCACAGCACACTGCGGGATCAGGGCAGAGCTGCGGGCTGGGGATTAACCTGCTGCTCTCCTACTCATGATCTCACTGCGTACTTTTATAGGAGCTCAGCCTTGGGGGTTTCAAGTGCCACAAGCTTAAATACCTTTAAACTTTGGGTATAGGTTAATAACATCCTGTAAATACAAAAGGGTTTAATCTATGTCCTTCACATGTCAATGCTACATTTGTAAAATTTTACTCCTATTTCCTTAGGAGGCAGCCAGAAGGCATGTTATTAGGATAAATAAATTATTATTATGTCCTTGTTAAACACCAAGATACTACAAAGGTAGGAATTACATGAACCAAAAAAGTCCTTCTACCCTAGAGAGACACTCTACAGTATTAACTAAATTTTGATAAAAAGGAAAAAGTTCTAGAAAATATTTCTTTCCTCTTAGTAGATTAATTTACATCAAGTGGGGAAAAAAAAAAAATCACACCTAGTGTTGGCAAACAACAGGGAGACAAATGAGGTAGCACAGAACTAAAGTAGACAGAAGGAACTGACATTTCTTGAGGGCACAGAACCATGCTTTCTCTAAAATAGAGCCTTAGTACATCCAGTTATTCTAATTAGGTAATGGTAAGTGGGTAATAAAAACCTCAATTTGACATCAACCTCTTTTAGGTACACCCAAGCCCCACTGTCTGAAATATCACTGCACACTGCAGGACAGCAAGGGCCTGGGTTTGTACATCTCTCCTCTGCTTCCCAATGAAACAGTGACATTTATAAGAAACTGAAGGCTAAAGTGACATCACAAAACAGACAAACAGATTTATTTCCTCCACAAAAAATGCTACGGGACTCCAAAGCACAGTCTGACTGCACAGGCTACAAACTTAAGTTTAAATCTTTGTTCCAGGTGAAAAATAAAACTAAATGAAAGTGAGTTCAACACTAATGAGCTCCAGGAACAATAAGTAAACACTCTTAAAGCTACCTTCACCCACATGAACACCCTTCCAATAAAATCAACTAAAAATGCAAACCTCATTGCAACTCTGCATCTTAGATTTTTCTATTTAAAACTTATTTTACTTAAATAAGGGGGCTTTTTTTACTTATCTAAGACAGTTCAGATATTTAGTGGATTGACAAATACATCTTTATTAACAAGAACAATAAAACACAGCCCTAATGTGACAACTTCGTCAGCAAACCTGAAAGCACTTCCCAAAAAGAAGTGTGCTAAAAATGTGCTTTAAAATGATGTAACAAAGCAACAGCTATGCCAGAACACAATCCAGTGCTGCTCCATCTTTCATCTCCTTCCCCTCCCACTACATACATGACACTTCATGGCAAACAAGTGTCTTGTTTCAGGCACTTTACCAGATACTGTCAATACTCTGCTTCCATTCCTCTTCACAAGCAATTATTAGAGCATTTAAGGAATGGATTTCATGCCAAACTAAATTAAATGTTTTCATGTTTGTGACAGAGAAAAAAACAAAAAACTAGTGGGTGAAGTACCTTGCTAGTGGAGAAGGCCTCAGAGGAACTTTGGTATCTGCCAATTCACTGCTAGAGAGAGATGAAACCACCAATTTCCCCAGCCTACTGCTAGATTTTCAAACCGCAGACACAAATTAAACGTGGAAGAGTACATAAACAAGAACATCAACACCACAGCACATACAGTATTAAAAAAGTCTGCATAAAAATAAGCCAGAAGCTCCACCAGTAACCTTTGCCCACTGAAGAAGTGGTGTCACAGCCGAGTTACCACTGCCAGCTTATCACTCCGAATTCCTACAGTCATTTTCCGGCTCGTTTAAGACAATTGCCCTAAGTGCTTCCACTGGGAGGCAGACTCTGCTCTCCATCCCAGTCCAAGGGACCCACCAGAACGGTTTCATCTGCTGTTTTCTACTACAAAACACAGCCTAAGATCAGCCCCCCAGTTTCTGGGAAATCTGAAATGCTAAGACATGAACAGTTATAGTTTATTTCTTAGAAAACAGAAAAAAAAATAGATGATCTACTGCAATACATTCAATGTGGTTTGTACTGTATCCTAGTCACGCATTCATTAGATCAGAACAAAAAAAAAAAAATATTAACAAAATAATCTCACATATTTTTAACTGTAAAGGTGCTTTGGTATTTTTTTATCCAGCAGAAGCTATACATGCAGAAAATTGTTCTTATTTACTTTTAGATGAATTTGAGTTCATGTAGTGCCACAGTAAAAACTATAACCCATCATACTATATTCATTTTTCAATGAACTTTGGCCAGGTCCAAAATCTGGTAAGCCTTATATTTATGTTCTTTCTTTAACATTTCTTCTCAGTTTGATGGGATTTTGTTAGGGCTAACTGTTGGCCCTGATGCTGGCTCATTCCCTGGTGTGCAGTGTCAATTCACACACCAAGATGAGAGATTTGATTTCTTTATTCTAGTTTGCACAAAGTAGGGATCTAGGTGTAACCCCACAGAGTCAGCAAAACTTTAGTTACACATTTTACCAAGGGCATCAGCGTTACAAACAGACAGCCTTCTCACTAACCAGTACTCAAACCCCTATTCACTAGTTACCTCTCTCTACTCCCTGCAAACTAGTCCACATGCACAGCCCTGCTCTGCACTGCAGTCAGGTCTGTTTTGAGTAGGTGGTCAGTGGGTGGTGGCCATGAACCCCCCTGCCAGAATCACCTTTCCCCAGGTACTGCTCAGTCCTGCTGACTCCACTCCTGGTGGCTCCTGTCCAGACAGCCCTCTCGTCCTGGACTGTGCTCTCCTTCCCTCAAAACAGATTAGCCAAGCCTACATGTCTCTACAGGTTTCACAGTGCAATTGCTTAATCATAACTGCCTACCTATAGCTACTAATTAACATCAAAACAACTGCACAGTTTGGTTCAAATCTTGAGGGACCTGATAACCTTACACCAGAAGCTCCTGAAAAACAAGAAGTGGATGAATACTCAGGTAACAAAACAAATCTGACAGAACGAAAGAGAAGATACACACTTCACAAGAAAGTGTGAAAATTCCAAGTCTTGAGACAAATTTCTCACAAGAAAAATATCAGCCAGATGAACAATATATATGAGGAATTTTACAGTACATTTCAAAGCAAGAAGGATATCCATAGCATGATCTAAGCTATCAAAGTGATAAAGTGGGATGTTCCACCATTTAATTTGAAAGGCTAAGCTGGCAACATTTTTAATACACTTTCTTTTTTGAAGGATAAATACATTCTCAGGTTCCAATTATTTGGGGTTTTGCTAGATTTTGTTTGGTTTGTTATTTTTTTTTAAATATCGTGTCCAGTCATCTACAGTGATTTACCACCAAAATAAATGGAATTAAGTAGATCCCACAAGAATATCTACTTTTCTCATACCCAACACTTTCCACTGTAGTGCCCCAAATCCAGAACAGGAACAACCCCTTTCCTCTGGCCTGCAGTGGAAGTCCCAAGTCCTTCAGAAAGGATCACCACCTTACTACAGAAAGACTGCTGCTCCCAACCCACGTGCACGGTTCAGATTGTGCTATCCAACATTCACTCTTGGTACAGTGAAGAGATCCCCCTTGAGCCACACAGCAGAAAAACAACAGGAATGCAATTTATGAAAATCACAGCCCTAGCAAGTCTTGACTCAAACCAATACTCACACAAGATTCTCTGGGAGTTTCAGAGTTTGTAGACTGAATTTCAGAGTTTGTAGACTGCAAGGACTAAGCGAGACACCTCAAAAGCAGTGCTTCACTCCAGCAGCAATATAAATGCAAAAAATAACCCATGGAGTTTTCCTGAGCACAAACACAAAGAGAGAAATTAAATTTGCTCTAAGTTCTGGGAATATGTAATTTTCACTTTTTGTAACTTTACCTCTGCCACAGGTTAGAAACCTATTCTCAAAACCAGAGTAATCTGTTTCTTAGATTGCTTACAGTGGTGTCTGTGAAACCCCACATCCTAAACACCCAGGTTCACAGATGATTAAGCCTAACTCTTAAGCTGGTTTAACAAAAATACTTTGCTTAAGATTTGGAGTATATGTCCAAATGCAACTATTGTCCTGCAATAGCAAGAAACTGCCTCCCTCCTAGTGTTATTCAGGACATAATACTAAAAAATTACTTCACTTATTTAACTTCAGATTTCAAAAAACTCCAACTAAACCAAGCCAATTTACAGGACACCAGAAATGCTGCACACACAATCAGTAGAAATGGGACTTCAACCAATATTTCCTATAGACACAAGCATAGCACCATAAACACCAAATTGCCAAAAGGAACTGGAAAGCCTGGAAACCACGGCCAAACCATGGACCAACCAAGCACTTGATGAAATCTGGGGAAGACTACCAGAGAAGAAGATTTGACTGTTAGTGCTTCAACCTCACTCCTCCATCTATTTATGGACAGACAGCACATTTTGCATTCAACAAGTTGTGGGGTGACTGATGGAAGTCACACAAAAGGCTGAGCTACAGAAAGACAAGTAGGCTGCTTCTCTGCACACTGCTTTGTATGGTTTTTATTTCTCTTGGCTGCTCTAAAGTTCTAGGGAAGCGGGGAATACAGTACTACAAAAAAAGAAACAGCCAAGGAAAAAGCAAATACTTCAAATTCAGTGTTTTCCTAAGGAGCTACTTGATCTAGATTTTATATCAATACTGCCAGGGGAAAAATTACTCTTTTGTTCAAAATCCAGCACTATGATTTATTTAAACATGGCATAAAGAAGTCTACCTTGCTTATTTGAGTCATCATTCTATTTTCTAGCTTTAGAAATAACAGAGTATCAGGACAACCTCTCTCCATCACACTGGAACAAATATCTTTTTCTCTCTTTTTATCACTCTTCCTTTTGTAAGCAAAGCAAGGCAGGATCAGTCATGAACATGCTCAACAGTTGCATAACTCGAAGCAAACACAGAACAAGGTCTCATTAAATTAGAAGCCATTTTATTCTCTGAGAAGAAGCATTACACAAGTGTTGTTCTCAGCTCCAAGTCCTTATGTGTTACCCTTAAAAATAAAACTTACAAACACAGGTGGTGACAATCAGAGGACAATATCCAGTACCCACAGATATGTTCAGAATGGGATGAAGGTGAGGAAGGAACTACATCCTCCCAGGAGATCACTCAAGTCAGTAGTTCAGAATCAGTACACAAATACTGCGTAGGTAGAGGGAGGTTTGGGTAGAAGAGAATCCTGTTTTTCTCTTCAGGGAAATCAAACACACCCTTAGACTCTGATTATGCAAACATGACCAAAATTGAGGTACGTGGCTGGGTAGAGCCTTCACTGTTAAGTTTCAAGAGCATTTCTTTTTTAAAAAGAAAGGTGCCACAGTAGCAACACCTTTTGTAGGAATTATGTGAATATTCTCAGAAAAAATAATTTTGTCTGTTTTATACAGATGTCAGCATTAGATTAATACAATCTGACAAGCTGGAAGTCCAGAATAGCCTATTAAATATTTCTAGAAGAAGAATATAAATATTTCACATGTTTCATGAGCCGCTAGCATTTCAAGCAACAAGGAAAATACATCCTGCTTTTTACAAAAGTCCCCCAAAGAATCATGAAATATTAAGCTAATTATGTAATTAAAATATATGCAGTTTCAACCACTGTACTCTTAGAACCTGTTATCTTAGATATAGACACATTTACAGATGCACAAAAAAACAAGTCAGGATAGCAGATATGTCAGTCCTTTCACAAGCTGACCTGGCCACAACTGCATCTGTGACTGTGTAACACAGGATCTGGGCAGAAGACTATTTTTTTTTTCTTAATTTTAACTGATATTATTAGTAAATTACAGATTTAAATTTTTTTGAGTGTGTGTTTTACCTAGCTTTCCTAATCAAAAACCCTCACCCCACCTTCCAACACCCACTAACAGCCTTGGCTTGATGACCCAGACATTCACACATGAGCACACAGCCCTGCTGGGAAGTGGATTTGTACCTTGTTGAAAGAACTGGATGTTACCAGGTTAAGCCTTTTGTGCAGATTGTAAGAAAAGCAGGTAAGAATCTCCACAAGCATCTTCCCCCTCAAGAAAGGTGAAAAAATAAAATCGATGCAGTTTTCAGCACTGCAAAATTGGAAAATGTTTTCTATGCATCTCAAAGTTATCCATTAGGAAAAGCATTTCTCTATTCATAATTTCTCTAGAACAATACAGTGCAGCAATACTTCACCAGGACAATTAAACTGCAGCTGTAAATGCCTAGAAAGTTCTGTTACCAGGGCTTCACAAGTCATTTGTGGACTTACACTGGGACAGACCAAACCCAGTTTGCCACAAAGATCACCAAGCTCCCTGCCTGAGCACTCCTGGGACAGCCATCTCCTCTGGGTGCCTGCTGCCTCTACCTCACTTCAGCACTCACAAACAAAAATCCTGACAGAATCTGCAGACACAAAAAAGCAGATGTTTCTCTACATAACCACTTAAATCCTCCTGCACACCATCACCTCCTGCTTCTTCTGTTCCCTTCTGCCTTTCTCCATACCCGTACACTCAAAACCAACTACAGATACCTCTTTACCAAACACAAATTATCAACTCATCTAAATTTTAAGTTAACCACAGATGCTCTACTTTCCAGTTTTTCATAGGTTCTCACAGAATGAGCTTATAAACATTGATTTTAATAATGGTTTGGTGAAACAACTGCAGACCACACGCAGTTTCACAGACTGTCTTCTCATACTGTGGTTGGTAGAATTGTTACTGTACGTCTGATCCAACAGAGCTTACATCACCACGCACATTGATGTATGCACTGCACTAACTGCTCAAGAAGCACAGTGCCCATGGAAAACCTTCCTGAGGATGGCCAAGATTTCTCACATGTCTGAGCAACCACCCTGAACAAAATGAGGGATGTTCCATACCCTGTCCTGGAGAGCAGTAAGGCAAAGGCAGAAGCCTTGCCTCTAAAGATGCAGAAAAAGTGTTTCTACACAGTTTTCAGTTCACAGTATCCTTATGAAGTTATCTCAGGAGAGAATGTTCTACAGATAGGAATGTCACACAGCAAATAGATGGGGACTGAACGTGGCAGTACTGTACTAGTGCCACTCTGTGCTTCAGCACGTCACTTCTAATCTTCACTAACTATCTTCCCCTTCCAGGTCTCATACTGGTTTCAGCTAACAGATACAAGCATTCAAGGTAAGGACATTTACTCAGCTCTAAAAAGCAAAGCACTAGATTTCCAGTTTTATAGTGCAATGGGAGAAGGTTTGCAGTTTGTTCTTGCTGTTTTCGTTATCAACAGTGAACATCCATAAGCCAGCAACTTCAATCATCTTATATTCCCTGCTTTTCAGGAAACTCATCAGACTGAGAAGCCAGCCTGTCCCGTTTCAGGTATTGTAATTAACTAGCACATTTTTGTAATTAACAAGGCTCGTGAACATTGAGGCAAAGTCCCAATGCACAGGTGGTGACAAATTGCCACCTCCTCCTCCGGGATTACAGATACCTTAAGTCAGCACCTTGACTTCCCATGAGCTCACTTAAGGAATGAGAGGACATGTGGGGGAGGATTCCTTCCCAAGGATCTATAAAAGACTCTTGCAAGTTTTGAACTGAGTTGGTTCAAACCATTTTGAATTGTGAACAACTTTTCTCTAATTGATTCAGAAGGTAATACACAATATGATCTGAGTTTCCTTCAGAGTTGCACTCCTGCCCCTCCCCGGTATTTTGGAATGGTTGTTCAGAAGGTGTGTTTAGGATATGGCCTTGTCCACATGATTTCCTTCAACAGACTCAAAATCTTGAGATCCCAAACTGTATCTTGCAGCTGAGTACTGAACTCTGAGAGCCTCTCAAGCTTCACTACATGGCAAGCCCTGATGTAGACCAGGCCCTCAGGATGAAGAGCAGGTTCTTCCAACTTTAACTGCATAATTAAACAAATAAAGTCCTGCCATTTGAGAGCTGCCTGAGTGCTTGCTATACTGCTCCAAGTCTGACATGTAAACCTGCACTGCCAGACCACATGCAGCCCTAAATAAGCTAGCTCACAACCTTCCACTGCAACTGATCTGCTGGCAGTAAGTAGGTAGAGCCATGGGACATTTTAGGTGGAAAAGGAAATCAGGAGGACTCTGATACAACCTCAAGCTCAAAGCAGACTCAGCTGTGAAATCACACCTGCTTCCTCAAGGCTTTATCCAGCTGGATTTTGAAAACTCCCACAGAAAGAGTCTGCACGGGCTCTCTGAGCTACCAAGTCCCAGCACTTGGCACACCTCAGGGTGAAAAATGCCTTATGGACACAGAACTCTGTGATTGCAATTCACAGCTGCTGTCTCTTTTCTTCCCACCACACACCACTGTGAAGAACTTGGCTTCACTCTCTTGAAAACTTTCACACAGGTGCTGGAAAGGTTCCCCAAGCCTTTTCTTCTCCAGGCTCAACAACAGGCACAGCTCCTCTCCTTCTCACAAATCAAAAGCTCACAACTCCAGCCAATCTTGGCAGCCGTCCACTGAACCCACTCCAGTTTATCAACATTTCCCTCATCCAAGGGAGGGGAGCACAACTGGATGCTGTAATCTAAAAAGTGCCAAATGGAATGGGATAATTGTCTCACTCGTCCTGCTGGCTCTTCGGGCTGCCCTGTGTTCATCTCGCTGGCCACCATGACCCCGAGAGCCTTCTTAGCTGGGCTGGCCCCAGAACAGGCTGTGCTGGTGCAGGGGTCACTCCCGACGGGGAGCGAGCCAGGAAGCTCCCACCCACCCTTAAGGAGCTGCTTAAATGG